TCTGGCCTTTCCCTTGGCACACACTGGACTATCCAGATCTTTCTAAAACACGCATTTCATAGTTGGATAATGCAAAAGTTAACTTAGAAATTTAAATATATCATAGCGGCAGCATCCCCACTAGCTGAAAACTAGAAGCACCCAAACGTCTGTCCCCAGAGTGTGGTGTTACCTGTACGAAAGCGTTTCACTCAGCCTGAAAACGGAGGCAAGGCTCACGCCCGCTACAGCACACAGAAACCTGGTGACATCACGCCGAGTGAGAAATGGTGGTCACAAAGAACACATGCTGTGCGGTTCCACTCCTGAGAGGTCGCTGGAGCCATCCATCCCACAGAAACAGAGAAGAGAGGCTGCAGGCCGGGGCAGGGCAGGGACACAGGGACTCAGTGTGTCATAGGGACAGAGTCGCAGTTTGGGGTGAGGAAAACGTCCTGGGGTCAGATGGCGGTGACAGTTGTACAACGATGTCAACTAACGCCGCTGAACCGTGCTCTTAAAGTGGTGAAGGTGGTCAGTTTTGGGTCATGGGCATCTTACCACAACTTCTAAAAATTTAAATGTGATCAGCGGACACGGAACTCTATTATGTAGAACGCCAGCGCTCCCAGGACTTGGCCGCAGTCGCATCTCGGGCGAGAGGAAGCACGAGGCCTGGCGAGTGCACTGAAGGACAAGCGGCACTACAGTGTGAGAGGCCTGGTCGGACGAGGCCTCGAGCGTGGAGAGGACGCGCACGTGCGTCGCCTCAGGACGGAAGCCCGACCTGACTTAGGTCTTCTTTCTCCACACCTAATGTTCGAGCTTCGCACAGTGACCATTGCTTTTCCCGTAACTGGTAAAAAGCGAACAATCGTCCACGGACCGATTCCCACAGCACACAGACCAAGCCAGAAAGTACGGAGCAACCGTTGCCGGAGCAGGTCCTGGTGGGCAGCCAGCAGCCACTGTCCCTGAGGCAGAGAGCCGGGCGGCAAGGCTTGGACTCCCCACCAACGGGCTGCTGGGCGCTGGCCTCCCCGCGAGCCGCCCTCACACGCGGCCTCAGAGCGCGCTGAAGGGAGTCGCTGTCGATCAGCAAGAAACGAAGAAGAGAGGCTCTTTGCCAGTTTTCGCCAAACGCATGCCTGCCGCACCCTTAGGTCGACTTCCTCACCAGTCTCAGGGGCTGTGTGCGGCTGGGTCTCCTGCGGTTGTGCGTGAGACCTGAACGCGGCGTCGCACGGCGCACTTGCCCACGCTGCACTAGGGCGGCCCCCGCGGCGAGTCACACGGGAGGCCCGGGCGCTCTGCAGGACCCCAGGGTCCCCCTTCCCAGCAGCGGCGCGCCGGACCCACGAGATCCCTGCGGTCCAGGCCGTACCACACCTCCGGGCCTCCCTTGGACTTGCGTCCTGTGGCCTCCACGATGAGCCTGGTTTATGTGGACGACGGCCCAGAGACTCGGTGCTCACGGTGCACTGCACCTGCCTCACGGGCCGCAGGGGGTGAGGCCAACGCCACGGGCAGCTCTCGGGCGGGGCTGGAAATGACCCACCTGGTGTCGGTGGTTATCGGACTCTAATTGAACCCCAGTAGTGCAGAGTCGCAAAGTTATTTTCAGGAAGCCCCGGCCTGCAAATTTAGAGGAAAGTTGGTCTTCTCTCATTCCTTTTCATTAAAATGTAAGAAGAGAAATCTTTACCCCTCCTGCCCTGCCTGACACCCCTGCCCCCCGTGACCTTGGCTGCTCTGCGCCCTTGAGACTGGGCACGCACTTCTGCACACAATGAAGAGAGAAAGCGACACTTTGCAGCTGAAAGACTGTCACGTCTTCAGAGTCCAGGAGCCAACAGAGGAACAAAGTAAGTTCCCTCCCATCTACACGTCATACATTTGCCTTCTAGGAGCCCCCACTCTGTCTTCAGCCCTGAAGGTGACCCAAAAACTGTCTTCGGTGACCTGACTGTGGGGTGACCTGACTCTGTCTCGGTGACCTGACTGTAGGGGTGACCCGACTCTGTCTCAGTGACCTGACTGTGGGGTGACCCGACTCTGTCTCAGTGACCTGACTGTAGGGGTGACCCGACTCTGTCTCGGTGACCTGACTGTGGGGTGACTCGACTCTGTCTCTGGTGATCTGACTGTGGGGGTGACCCGACTGTCTTCGGTGACCTGTGGGGTGACCTCTGTCTTGGTGACCTGACTGAGGGGGTGACCCGACTCTGTCTTCGGTGACCTGACTGTGGGGTGACCCGACTCTGTCTTGGTGACCTGACTGTGGGGATGACCCGACTCTGTCTTCGGTGACCTGACTGTGGGGTGTCCTCTGTCTCGGTGATCTGACTGTGGGGTGACTCGACTCTGTCTCTGGTGACCTGACTGTGGGGGTGACCCGACTCTGTCTTCGGTGACCTGACTGTGGGGTGACCCAACTCTGTCTCGGTGACCTGACTGTGGGGTGACTCGACTCTGTCTCTGGTGACCTGACTGTGGGGTGACCTGACTCTGTCTCGGTGACCTGACTGTAGGGGTGACCCGACTCTGTCTTGGTGACCTGTCGGGTTGACCCGACTCTGTCTCTGTTGACCTGACTGTGGGGTGACCAGACTATGTCTTCGGTGACCTGACTGTGGGGTGACCAGACTCTGTCTCACTGACCAGAGTGTGGGGTGACCAGACTGTCTCAGTGACGGAAACCTTCTTCCTGAGCATGAGCTGCACAGTCCAGTCTTGGTCTAGGTCCTATAGCTCCAGGTTTACAGAAAGTACAAAGCAAAGGAACAAATTACATGTTATCTTCAGGACATAATCAGCAAAATCCAGAATATAAAAACCGTTACAAGTGAATTCATTTTCTAAAATGTTGTGAGAAAAGGAAGAAGAAGGGGGAAAGCGCTTATGCGAGTTCACGCAGACAAGGCCGCCCCTTTAAGGGCTCTTCTTTGGATCCTGCTTAAAAGAAAAGAAATCCTAAGGAAAGTCTGCGACCACTAGGAGAGGCGCACGCTGATCAGACAGCGGTACCGAGACATTACATTAATTCCCACGCGGGTGAGCCCGTTGAGGGCGGGTGTCCCCGTGCTGCAGCCATACGGCTCTGAGACTAGGCGGACGGCGTCCTCGAGGATGGGAGCCGCCTTCCGCGGAGCCTGAGACGCAGCGCACAAAGGTCCCCTATGGCACTCGGTCTATTCTGTGGCTGACGTCTCACGTGCTTCTTTTTAAGCGTTACGTGCAGCTGGGAAGACGGCATGTGTGAGAAGACACCGACATGGCAGTTAGCACAGGAGAAAACGCCAGACAGAGTGCACGGCTGATAAGGGTCGTTGCAGACGGAAGAGCTTCTTCCAAGAGGACGTTCCCAGGGATCTGCACCTCGGGGTGTCGAGACGAAGGGCCGGTCCCCAGGGAGGGGGAGGCAGGAAGCCCTTCCGAGCAGGAGCGGACCCCCGAGTGCGTCAGGTTCTGCGAACACACCTGGCTCTCTGATGGCTGTAAAGTCCCTCCGGTATGGGCTTCCTATGTCCAGTGACTAGGGCAGAGGCCATTGACAGATGTTGACAGGTGGGATTTTTTAAGTTGTGGGAGAGGAGAACAGCAGCAGGGAAGCCGTGTTACAGAGAGGGGACACCTGCCATCGCGTGAGCGCAGCACAAGCTCGTGGGTGCTCAGCGCCACGGAGAGGGGCCAGCGGAGGGAGCAGAGGCCCCTGCTCCGGGGCTGGGTGGTGGGCGTGGCCGTCCGTGGTGTGTTTACGGCCCAGGTGTGGGGGACATGGAGCCACGGGAGACGGGAAGTGGAAGGATGATGTGAAAGCCCCATCAGCAGACAAAGGCCTCTGATGGAGTCTGTAATTATGGGCCAGCAAGAGGGGTTTCTGAGAGCACAGCGCGGTCTGAAGGGGGAGCGACAGCCCCCAGCGGAGGGCGCGGCGCTCCTGCCGCGGTAGCCGCCCGTGGAGAGGGCCACCGCACAATGGTGTATTTATGGGCAAACAATCCGTAGGCAAGTGCACAGTCTGCTCTCTCACAGCTCTCCCTCTGCGCCAGGACGGAGAAGAAAGCACCGGGCCTCCCGCTAATTATAACTTCTCTTCCTTCCATTTAGAAGGTGCCATAATGGCTTTGTGGGCCGAGAGAGAGAGAGAACAGAGACCTTCTTAGCTGAAAAGCAGCAGCACGGAGAAAAGAAGACTGTCAGAGCAAATCCAATTAAGGCGTCACTCACAGAAAGACGGTGATGTTAATGTGATTCTTGGTCCATTTTTGTAGAAACCCGCTATCTGCTCAATTTTATTATTTGTATATCTTCAAAGAAGAAGTCACATTTTATCAGAGTCTCCCTTGATATTTGATGTCTTAGAAGACAGACGCCCCAGAGCCCCCTTCACCCAGCAGAGGAGGGGCTGTCCATACCCCGTCTCCCTGGGGCGGCCACAGCAGGGCCACGACCCGCGGGAGACTCCAAAGGAGCAGCGTGAGAGCCAGTCACTTCGAGGCACACAGGCACCCTCACGGCACTGTGTAGCGTTAGTGTCACTGGGATTTTGGGGAGAGGCCAACCACCGTAACTCCGTGAGGTGGCCCCGGGTTTGAAGTGCTGAGGGGTGACATACACCAAAAGCAAAAGCCTTCATGTTCCATTTTCCAAATGTTCCGTGGCCAGCACGGTTTGGGGGCCAGATCTGCTAACGTCCCCAGCCTGGTTCAGCACCTTCATCAGTGACGTAACGTGACAGATGCTGCGGGCGGGGCCCACACACCCTCGGCTCTCGCCACCCCCAGAAGAGCCCTTTGCTGCGGGGCCTGACGATGACCTGCTTCTCTCCCACAGCGGCAGGAGGCCAGGAGGGTGCTGGAGGCCATTCCTCACGCCGCACCGCTGCAGCCTTGACCCGGGGCAGCGCTACCGGCCACCAACTACTCAGGACGGGCAGAGTGCAAGGGGTTGGCCCTGGGCAGGATCCAGAAAGACAGAAGCAACAAGACCACGGGGGGCTGTTGGGGGTGCCGACTTACCATCGCCCACGGCTGGGGGGTCCTCGGGGTCTCCTGGAGGCAGAGACCATTTCCGGAGGACTGCTGGGGCCGAGAGGACCCTCGCTGTTTTCCAAGGTCCGCGCAGGCGGTTTTGAGGCCCGGGGTCGTCCTCCCTGTGGGGCGCGGGGGGCTTCCGAGCCACAGCGGTGACCAGCGCGGCGACCGGGCTCTGCCTTTCAGCGCCGCCATCCACCTTGGGGCTGAGCTCATCAGGCTGCAGCAGGCCGCGGGTCCCCAAAGGGCGGCTCCCGGGGCGCTCAGCCCAGGGCCCAGGAGCGTAGGTCAGAGCAGCCGTCTGCGCGGTGAAGGTCAGCACGCCGTGGGCGCGGGGGTCCTCAACCTGCAGGGGCCGGGAGCAAACACAGCAGGTGAGCGTCCACGTTAGCCACTCGGAAGGGCACCGGCTCCCAGTGCTCAAGGACCGCAGCTCCCGCCATCTGCCACGGGGCGCGCCTGAATTTCCCGGCACCAACAGACCACACTCGCCCACGGGTTCCCACACCCGAGCTGCCGCTTTCCAGACGGGAGTCGCACAGCCCCAACACTCGGCCCGCGGTTCCCGCACGTCCAGAGCCAAACATCCCCGCCGTCCGTCCTTCCAGCACACCGGGCTCCCCCCGGAACAAACCTCGCACTCAGCCCCTCCCCCAGCCCTCGCCGCCGCCGGTCCACTCCCGACTCTGCGGAGTCGTCCGTCCGGGACGAGTCCCATCGGGGGACTCGTTGAGCACATGGCCTCGTGCCTCCTGCCCAGAGCGCCGTGCTGGAGGAGCAGGGACGCGGCGTCCGGGGCTGCCTCCCTCCCGCCGCCAAACACCTCGCCCTGACGAACGCCCACATTGGGTTCGTCGGTCGGCGGACCTCTGGGGCCATTACGCCGCGAGGAACAGTCTGGGCAAGTTTCTTGGGGCCGCGTTTCCAGTTCTCTCGGACGCCGTCCGGGACAGCGCCAGGGGTGGGGACCCACGCTCGCGACTTGCCGGGACGCTGTCCGACGCGGCCGCACCGCTCACGTGCCCCCCGCCGGGGAGAGGACCCGTTTCTCTTCCTCCTCTTCGCCCGCTGTTTCCCTCCAGCCACCGGGCCCGCGGCAGCTCGCTGAGGCCGCGACGTGCACTTCCCCGCCGGTCAACGACGCGGAGAACCGTCTTTCCGGTTCTGTCACCCGCACTGGAGCTTATCGGTGCGCGAGGACGCTCTGTGGCTGCGACACTGTGGCCAGCAGAAGCTCCTCCTGCCCCGTCTCACAGTCAGTTCACTGCAGCTCTCTCTACCGACCGCTGAAATCCCTCTCTCCTACTCCTTTAACAGCAACATTCTGCAACAGTAGAGCTGCCGGGGTCACTCTTCTAACCCTTCTAGGTCACACCAGCTCCCTGAGCCCCCTCCCGCATGTCCTCCGCACTCTCTCGGTCCACTTTCCCAGGAGCGTGTGCTCTCATCAGACTGTGCTGCCTCTGGACAAGTCAAGGCCCAGCCGTCCTCCACCCGGAACAGTTACAAAAAGGTTGAGAAGTTCAATGTTCTACTTCTGACTGTGGGACCATCAAACTTTCACGGAAATTTCCAACATGGAGGTTCCCAGAAAACTTCAGCTGTCCTGGAGGCTCGTCCAGAGCTGCCTTCATGGTATGGAACAGGTGCGTGGACTGTAAATTCTTCAAATCTTGCCCATCATGTTTTCTAAATGCACCTCACTTGGGGCACGGGGTCAGTGTTGAGTTAGTGGGGAGTAGACCTTGGGATCTAGGTAAGATGTAAGCGTCCCTGAAGTGAAGACGACTGGCTCAGACTCCCAAGCTTGGCTATTTTCAAAAATACCGGGCTGCAGCCTTTCAGGATAGACTTTGGTGTGGCGAGTTAGAAGTGAGAAAACTGGGGTTAGTATGGGTTCTAGTTATTTTGCTCACATATGAACTTGGGCAAATCTGTTGACGTTTTGAGACTCCATTTTCTGTCAAAGGAGGACACGGGACATTGTCTCTAAGATTGCCTTTATTTCTAAAACAGCATCATCTTAGTTGTCATCCCAGTTGTGTCATGCTCTCCAAGCACCAGCAGAAACCAACGGCTTCTCCTTTAGAAAAAAGTAAGATTCATTAGACAAAGGGGCAGAACAATACAGTGCTACCAGGCGAAGAGCCCCCAGCGGTTTCCCACAAACTGGGCCGAAGGGTCAAGGTTAAGCTCAGCCTGAACTCCGGCTCGGAAAGACCGTCCCCGAACACCCGGTCAGGTCACAGCGCTGAGGCGGCGGCGAGCGTCCCTGCGCCTCAGTCATGTGCCTGGCAGCATCTCTCCTCTCTTGGCTACGAATTCAGCCTCACAGAGCTTCTACTCAAAGGGCTTTAGTTGCGGCTGAACCGGAGAGCTCTGGGACAAACCCGGGGGAACACAGCGCGCAGGACATCCCCGCTGAGCGTCACCTGCGCTGAAGACGGCGATCAACGGTCTCTGGGGTCTGTTTCTCCTGTGAACCAAATCAAGGTGAAGAGGGAAAAATAGCATTTCAGTAGGCAAACTGCAGAAATAATAGAAAACATCGTTTTGACAAGTCACACCAGGTCCTCTGTAAATGATAGCCAGCACGATGGGGCCTCCGGGGAGCTCGCTGGGGCCCAGGGAAGGGGCCAGCCAGCAACTCGGAGCCAGGCCGCTGGGAGACCAGCAACACGCGGATCTAGCAGTGGCTTCCTGTTGGTGGCGTCACGTCTTGCAGGACAGGGCTGGAGGACGAGGCTGGATTCTGGGGCAAGGCTGCCTGGGTCTGAATCCCAACTCCGACCTCACAATCCCCGTGAGTGTCGCTCTGACGAGGTGTGTAGCCTCTAAGCCGTCCATCGGGAACGGTGATCAGGCTGGCACGGGCGCTCCCACCGCGGTCACTCACTCGGCCTTCTCGGACACTCCCTGTCCTCGACGCGGTGGGACGTCCCCAGATGGAACTGCGCAGAAGCCGCTCCCCACTCTGAAGGTTTTAAGCCTGAATTCAACAAACCAATGACGTCAGGTTCCCTAAAATAATGCTGAACGACTGTTGGGACCGACCTGGCAACCACGGTTAGCGCCTGAGAGTACCCAAATCGGCCAATTCCCCGCACACGGCGTGGCTGCATGTGGTACCTTAATTCTTCACACCGTCCGTCAGAGGACTCTGGCTGGCGCATCCCTGACACGGTACAGTCTGTACAGCGCGTCTGGGAACAGCCCCAAAGGTTGCTGAACTTGACCCTGAGGTCCTTCCCATGAGGCGGCCACATGCGAAGGAGTGGACGCACCGGCTCCCACCGTCCACACTGTTGAACAAAGCAGGGAAGACGGCTCTGTGGGAGGCGGGCCTGATCCCGCCAGCGCAGCTCCGGGGCACCTGAAGGACGTCGAGCTTCCCTCTTCACTGCCTTCAAAATTAGGAAAATGCCTCCTTTTTCCTTAACAAGCATAAGGCTGGGGGAGAATGAAAAAGTTGGTTCCAAGACACAGCACACAGCTCAGAGGAGGTGCTGGATAAACAGGGGGCACGATCACCACCTCTGTGACCATGACGCAGCTCTGACACCCCCCCTCTGGAGCCATCACCTCTGTCACCATGACCCTGCTCCAACCGCCCCCCTCAACATCACCTCTGTGACCATGACCCCGCCCTGACCGCCCCCCCAGCGGCAGCACCAGGCCGCCACCAGCACACCAGCAGCATCACGCGAGCTAGAGGCGGGCGTGCCGCGCTCTGGCCGACGTTCTGCAGGAAGAAGGTCTCCGACACGGGGCCGCGGCACAGCACCAGTGAAAACGGGACTTAGCTCATGGCCCGTGGGACTCTTCGTGAAAGTGTGTCTTACACGGACAGGTGTTCAGTGACCCTAATATGGAGGGAAGGGGACCGTCAGCTCGTTGCCAGCAGCCGGCTGACACCGTCCTAGAGCCGCAGCCTGTCCGCCCGGCCACGAGTCTGGCGTGGACTCTCCCCTTCCCGCCAGCCTCCCCGACCCGGGGCCCGGAGCTGAAGTCAGGTTTCCTTCCTCTCGAAGAATCCGCCCGCCCTGGTCCCAGATGCGGTTAGGACATCGGGCTGCCGGGTGGGCCCGGAGGCCTCGGGGTCCCGTGAGCACTGAGTGGGGACACCTAGGTCTACACACAGGCCACCGAAGCTCTTCAGGTGTCCTGGGATGCCGAGGACCCAAAGCAAATTAGGAGACTCACACCGGGCCGTCTCTTGGACACAGAACATCTTCTCCCGTTCGCCTCGCGGCCCGAAGGCAACCCTGACAAGCACGGCGCTCCAGACACGCATGCTGTCGGAGACGCTGCGCAGCAGCCGCACAGTCCACGGGCCTCCTGACGAGGTGTCCCCATGGTGCCGCTGGACGTGGCAAGACTGGGCTTCCCGTATGGGGTCTCGGGAAGCCTCCACCTGCAACTCACTCATGTGCAGCAGGGGTGACTCTGCTGTGCCTTTCTGTGCTCAGGACACAGAGGAGGACTCTGGTGCGTTGTGAACTCTCTTCCTCTCCCTCTCTCCCTCCCCCTACCCTTCCTTCGCTCCCTCCCACACAGAGAGAAGGCCACCCTGCCAAAGGTGGCCAGGCCCGGCGCAGCCAGCCCACCCGTGCGCAGGGAACACACCGCAAGGGTCGTTCCTATGACAGCACTGCTGCCAGCACAAAAGACACATCCGCCTTTAGGGGAGCCTCACACTGGTCTGCCTTTCTCTGCGGCGCAGGCAGCTTTCGGTTAGAAAAATGAGTCTCCAAACACTTTTTACAGAGTTCACAAAATCTATGTGGTTGAAGAAATGTTAAGTTCGAAACTCGGGATCAATGACTTTTTCAGAAAGTTGACCATAATGCGCGCTGTGGATTTTACATTACGGATGTCCACGGCGACGCTGCCTTACGGTCGCTGGGAGTGGCTCTAGAGAGGGCTGGCGGTGCGAAGCCAGCAGCCCGGCCCCTGCTCTCTACACACCCACATGACCTGTCCTCCTGCCACTTCTGCTTCGTCGGCTGTCCTGCTTCGCATCTCGTCCTTCCCAGCCCCAGCACCCACAGCCTCACTCAGCAGGGAACTGGTTCAACGGAACCACCGCCGCAGAGTCCGTCCTCCGCCCACCTGGGATCAGCACGAAGCTCGGAGTTGCAGGCCAGCAACCATGACCCCCACCTCAGAGTGGGAGCTGCTTTCTGAGTGCTGGTGACAGGCTCCTCTTTGGGTTTCTGCGTTTGATTCTTTCTGACCCTTTCAACAATCCCACGGTGTAGACACAACTGCGGTGTCCACTGGCAAGTGAGAACCAGCCCTGGGACGCAGCCCCGCATGTCTGGCCTTAGGCTGCGTTGCAGAAGG